CGTCGCCGCCCGTTTTGTCTACAGAGAAACACGACAAGTCGAGAAAATCCGAAGGGGGGGGAGTCTTACCCGATCCTGGTAAGTTTCTTTCTTAGCGCTGGTCCCTGCGAAAGAACGAACGTTGCGCAACGAGGGGAGAAAGCGCAAGAGAGGCAGTAGCAGCCCTGGCCCGCGCGCGGCTTGTGAAATTATTTCCTCCGCGAACTGAGAAACTTTTATCCAATATCCGCGGCAGCATCTGGCATCAAACGGCTCTGTGCGCATGTCTCTATGGGGTTTCGGAAAATGTTCACTAACACTAGGTGAGACAGAAAGAGAAAGGGAGAGAGAGAGAGAGAGAGAGAAAGAGAAAAGGGCCGACAGAAGGCCGACGGTAAACTGCATAGCCCATTGGCTTCTAATTGAATCTTACGGCATCCACACGGGTTCTGACACTTTGGCACACGGCGTAAAAGACCACTTTACACTTCGCAGTCTGTGAATTAACTTATCGACAATTACTATAAACACTTTTTCCAAGCACGAAGTTTATTCATCAGAATATATCAGGGGGTATAAAATTATTAAAGGATGATTCCTCGGAAAGTTCGTTACAAGAAATAGATATTGCGCAAATGAAACATTATAATAAAGCTTTAAATTTATATTTAAACGCTTATAAATTTTACATTTTTTTACGAGCAAGCAATTGTAAAGATGGCAGGTTACGAAAATGCGATTAGATTTTCGCACGTGAGAGAAGTAAAAACCGTATATTTGATTTGAAACGAGAGGAAAGTAATTATTTCTGGATTTGATATCTCTTGCGTCATTCGAAATATTGGAAACAAAAGTGAAGGTGATCTTCTTCCCGTTACCCCGGTGGAATATGTATATTTTCTGTCTGATAATAGATTTTTCCCTTTACATGCAGCGATACATATATGCCTGAATATGCCGACCTAGTTCGGCTTGCGGAATTGCTGGCTCGCTCGCAGGCAGTCGATTTATCGTTTGATTAAAAAAAAGTTAACCGAACTTTCTGATAGCTTTGATGCAACTGAATGGTCAATTTGTTTGATTTCCATTGTCGATACGTAGTTACCGTTACTATATTTATTGCTATATATTGTAGTTGTGCATATTTAGCGATATTTAGCTATGATTAAATCTACGAATTTTTATAAATGTGTTATTTCACGCATTTAAATTACACACAGCTTCATATACTCTGTCAGAGGGGCTTTAAAAAATCCAGAATTCCAGAGGAGGTTTCATAAAATTTTCGAGATTCTATATCGTCATAAAAAATAAGAACTCACGTCGATCGTTCGCTGTAGTACACGATGCGTGTGGTAATAATTTTGTTTATAGCACAATGGATTTACCCTTTTACGATATTGAGAATTATCGTCAATTTTTGCAATAATGCTGTGCGAAAGTCTTTTACAATGTACTTACATTGTATATCGCGAAGAGTGATGCCACTTAAAATTTTTACTGTCACTTCGTACGAGCGTACAGAGGAATAATGGCGGCATCGCATTAAATTTCACTACTGTACCGTAGAAAATAGTGGGATCAAATGAAATAGCGCTTTGTCGTGCATCTTAATTGGCTTCTCGTTTCTAACGAAGTAGTAGGATTTAATTTATGTCCCAAGGAAACGAACACAGGACAATGTCTCAGATGCGTAATGACACTCTGCTACGATCTTGCATTTGCAGTTGCATTTCTTATGGCCAATACATAGACGTTTAAAGTAGAACGAAATATACATATACACATGGACGCATACATAGAAGAGCTTTTAAGTTAAAACGTGATATAAAATTCAATTAATCTTTAGCTAAAGTCGGTGCAAGCTTACGAATTTAACGTTGCATTAAGACGCACGCAATAGGATGGCCGCTTTAAGCTCTTAAGTTTTTCCGCATACTAGCAGCCGCAATCTGCAGACGAAGGGATCTTTTTGCCGCGACGTCCTTAACAGCAAACGACAAAAAAGGTCTATTCGTATTGCGTAATAATATCGCACCCGCCTCGCTTCTCGTCATTGGCCCTATCCCTTTTGTCCCTCGATGAAACTGCGGTAGCCCCAAGGCTACGAGACACAATGAAGCTTTATTTCTTCTTCATATAGGATATATATAAAGAGAAGCTGCGCGCGAGCTTTATTAGCTCGTCATGTATTTTGGTGCGTCACCCTTCGTCAACCCAGTTTAGTGGCGAATCGGGAAGGATGAGATATCGTTTTTTCTTTCTTCTTTTTTTTTCACATAAAACAAAAATTGCAGCGCCGAATTTTATTCCACGGGAGCCGTCCTTGCACGAGATAGATATAGATGAACAAAAAAACAATATCAGTATTGTTGCCAAAGCGAATATAGCCGGCTCTACGGACACATGCATATCGCTAAAATAGCATTTCCTCAGTTTTAAAAAACTGAGTTATTAGTTGCAACATTCGCATGTCATATGATAAAGGAATTATTATATTGACTATATATGGCATTATTAAATGATGAAAACAATGTTTTCTTGTTGAGATTAATTAATGATTTTGGTTATCCACTGTAGATTAATTTTTTGTATGATGCTAAGACATCATTAATTTGGCCCACTATTTTGGGACAACATTGTTTTAGGGTAAACATCTTTATTTAAAAACTTATCCTATTGTTTAATTAATATTTACCTTATTGTAACTGAGATTAGTTCATAGCCTGCTTATGTATGATTCCACAGTCCCCCTGCGCGATTTACCTCATAGTCAAATCCTATCTATTTCACAAGCTTCTCATCTCGAATACACGTGGATAGGATTTGGGGTTGTCGTCCTATCACTTGGCCGAATCCTTCGAGCTAGTTACATAGAGAAACGGGATATATATATGCTGAATACGTCTTGTGTGCGTGTGTGCGCAATGCCTACCAATGCTGGAATTTGCCATTGCCTATCTATACTGCTTCAATATGTGCAGTGTATTGATTACATACTGTATCTAAGACGCGCGTAAATAGTAAAACTCGTTAATTTAACGAGTGTATATAGACAAGTTTCTTCGATAATTTGTTTTACTGTGCACTTGTTGCATTCATCGAAATTGATTCGCAATCGCGAAGACTATATTCTCTGTGTATTTCTACCAGAAGAATCTTTTTTCACGCGCGCGTCGTGATACTTGTCAATTATTTCTCATATACTCGAGAATTCTTCGATAAAAAGCCCCCGGATAAGTAAGGCAATGGAGAAACTGAGGACACCGTTACAAGTCCTGTCGCACGAGGAAAGAAGCCGTAAAGGTACAAAGAATAGAGAAACAGGAGCTACCTATAAGAGAATGCAGGAGAGGCTGAAGATGGGACGAAGGACAGAGAAAGAGCTGAGATAAATGTGGAAGCGAGCCCGCCGTAAAACCGGTCGAGAAATAAAAAGGTCGTTCCTCGGCTCGTGGCCCAGATCGTTTCGCAATGGGGATTACCTACGGCACGTCATATAAAATGGCCGAAGCCATCCCTCACGCGTATTTCCAACGTACCATGGAATCGCCCTTTACGTCGAGAAACGGGAGAAAGATGTGACTTCGCCTGTTTAACTCTCCGGCGGCATTGTCTAATGTATGACTAAACGTCGTAATAAAAGTTATCATCGATGACGCTATTTAATTTAGCATGCGCGCGGAGAGAGTTTATTTTACTCGATCATGTATATTCTATCAATTAATTGGAGAAACAAATAATAATTGTCGACACTAATCACGAATACCCTTCGAATTGCTGTTATTCTCGTTAATTACGTAATTAGATTTTTATTGGAGAGAGGGGTAGTTTGCCGCGCGCGCGTATGTATATTTTATTGAAATCGAAGCAATTTAGTATCAATTGCGACAATGTAATCAGTGGTATATTTACTAATAACGTTATGATAAAACAGTTATTAATGCAATTACTAATTAATATCTAGTAATAGCGGACTCTGCTTTGTATATGATGGTTGAAAATATTAAAATAATCTGTAGTTGAACTTTGTCGAATTTTCTGTAATTTAGAAAAAAAAACTTAAAAATTTTTTTTGATAAAATTTAGACATTTATATAACATGTGCGATATAACTATTTTATCTATTTAATAAATATAGAAAAAGAAGTTATATTAAATTCGTACATTTATAAATTTCTATTTTATTAAAGTAATAAGAGTGTCGCTTATGTAAAAAGCTCTTTTTATTGTGCTTGCGCAGTAAAATTTATTCTTGGTGAAGAATTTAAAACCACCAAAGCATTCTTAAATTAAACGACCGCATTTATCAATATTTAAAAGTCTATTCATTATACTTTGCATTTCGTCATCTAGTTTACGTAATTCACACACTAATTTGATAAACAAGTCTTTCTTGGATATCAAAAGCGGTAACACTATAAGGCAGGGTACACCAGGACGTAAACACGAACTATTGCTTTCCAGATTAGGCTTGGATGCACGTTCACCTCCTTAGTGTCAAACTAGCTAATCTAATGTAGCGGCGGTTTCCTTGGAGGATTCATGAAACTGAAGTTCACCTTGCTGCTGCGGTAATTATTGCCTGTGGCAATATAAAGCAAAGCACGTATTGTTATACAGTTATAGACTGCGCCCGTGCATATTAGCCGTGACGTATCGCGGAAGTCGTGGTGATACGGCGCCTGCTAAGTTTGAAAGCATTTCGCTGTTTTGTGCAATTTAATGTCATTAATGCGCAGATGATATATGACTCACTCATGAATCAACGATCACCGAAGACTCATACTCTCGAAACGTTTAAATCAATCGTACACATATATGTATACCGAGATTGCATAGATTAACATTCGGCATTGTATAGTATCACGTTATTATTTTATATCACAACTAAATAGTCCATAACTAATAATATTGATAATAATAATTTTATAAATATCTATTTTTTAATTTTAATCCAGTGGATTGTTTCTTAATGTGATGCATATTTGAGACTAATTATATTTTACGGATTGTTTCAGATTATCTCCTGGCTCGATCCCAACTATATAGACTCTCCTAAGTCCGACGCCTCATTGGGAGCGTAAAACGACAACTCGATACACTCGATTGCAACTGTACGGTGAGTCCCCTACAATCTTTTTCTTAGCTATCGTTGCAGGCCGTAAAACGTTAGGCGTAACGATGGATTGCGTTTCATAGTGTGCTACGTTTAGCAGACTGTAAATTACGACTTTATCCCGAAATTTTTATAGTTGCGGCTGAAACGCCATAAATAATCTTTTATTACGATTCTGTATATGTGTGCAGCACACGAGTAATATTTCTTCGATTTGTCTGATTGTTCTTGATGCCTTTTACGATAGTAATCTGGCAAAAATTGTGTAGCAACAAATAAATTGACAATTATTTTTACGAAATGGAAATAGGGAATTTGTGATTATAGTAAATTTATAAATAAAACTGTCAGGTTCGCAGTTTCGACAATATAATTATTTTCTTGTAATAAGTATTCAAGCGTAACGAGGATTAAATAACAAATGCTCTTAAATAACAAATAATATGACTAATTAAAAGGATAAAAAAAATTATTTTTATCAACCTACATCAACAATTATTATTGTTGATGAATAAGTTTTTCGTAATATAATTGAATTTTTTTGACCAAATGTTACATGATTCTAATTGCATTTAGAAGGTAATATATGATAAACTGCCATTAATTTATCTCGCACTGGATGATCAATATCGGTTTTGTACCTGTAATACTTCCTAATGCGCGTGTCAACGTTTACAAACGATCACACATTACTATTTTGGTGGTATGTTTATCATGCAGTAATTTATAATTGTGTCTCGAGCAAAACATCCGCATGCCGGAACGATTGTAAATATCGAATATGAATTATTCTCTTGAGTATATTATGGATATTTAAAATTGTGATATATAATAAATCTCATTGTTGGATTTAATAGAGCAGAAAGACATATAGTTTCTGATGTGCAAAGTATAGTTTCTACAAATCTCTTTGCTTTAAGCCAAAGTTGTTATACACTTATATATCTGTTTCTATAATATGTATAATATTTTGTTTCTATACCTACTTATATTTATAAGTAGTTAATTCAATGTCTAAGAAAAATTAAATGCTTTTTAATAACAGATTGTTCGGCCAACTTATAATCGATTTTTACTTAAACAAAATTTTAGAGAAAGATCATCATTTATTGTAACGTTATTGGAAAAATAGAATTAAAATTCTATCAGTAAGTAATCTTTGAAAGAAAGTATCTTCGCCTGAAATTTGCTGAAAAATATAGTTATTCATTTAGTCTCCTAAAGTTTAGTTCACAAAAGGTTCTTCTTCTTTAATCATTTACAACTCAAAAATTATTGAAGCTTCATTCACTAAAACGAGCTTAACTCCAGATTGAATGTTTTATCAAAATACTATTGAACCGAAGAATGTTTTATCAAAATACTATCCAGTTTTCTGGATCGATATGTATTTATTAAAGCGATCATTTAAGTTTGTTTCGGCAAATCGCAAATGCAAGAGAAGTAAAATGCAATTTGGAATGTGATGCAATGAAAATATTATGTTATGTAATATAAATCCCAGTAGCATTTGGCACTAAGGAATGCTTTATTTTGGGGACTGGTTTACTGAACCACAGTGTGTTTAATATAAACATTCAATATTTTCCGCGAATGCCGATGGTGAAGCTAACGCGTCCTTCCATCGAACGATACGATAAGCGTGGGATAAGTGGCGCTCTCCGTAGAAGCTTCGAAATTAATTCCAAGCAAGAAGCCCTTCGTCGTTGCTCGTCCTTACCCTACTCGCCCACAGCCTTCCGCAAACACACGAGAGCGGTCTGACGGATATAGCCCGGGTTAAACTAACCTAGTCTAACCCAACCGAACGCAAAGCACCGAGGTTGTCCTCTCACCGCGTGCAAGGTGCAGCCTACTGTCTATCTGAAGCTGCCACGAACCATCAGGAACGAGATATCAGCCAGGGAACAATTCCAATCAATTTGAGGCGGATGTATTCGTCCGACCCCCAACCCCTTCCAACCCCCTCGCACTGGTTGCTCGTGGACCAGCCGATATGACGAGAGTACATCCAAGAGCACCCCACAAGGTATACATACTGTATACATATAATCGACCGCGAATTGAGATGCCATTGGAACAATCGGATTTATCGTCGGTCGCGCGGCCTCGTGGAAGATCCCCCCGGAGAGTTAACTGTTTTGTTGACCGCAGAAGTATAAGGGTACATATATATGTAATATAAACCGCGATAAGTTGGGAAGCTGCCGGATTGGAAACTTTGGTAAGACTTTGAGTAGGGCTTTCGCATTCGAAGATGGTATTGGTTCAAACGAGATTCTGATATTTCATATTTTCGAGTCTAGAATATCTGCATATCTCGCATTTTATTATTGATCTTACTTACCGATATCTCACATTTAAAATAATTACTTTAAATTATTTTAGTTTCGTCATTTTTCATTAATATTGATAACAAAGATTGACACCTCTCTTGTTATAAATCTATTTAACAAATTAAGTTTTTCCAATGATTATTCTTGTACTACAGTTATGAATATAAATTGTCATAATTCGGTCGCGCGTAAAACTTCTTTTTGTCATTTGCATTCTAAGTATAAACTGGAATAACGATAAGAAAAATAAAGTTCGTATAGCCGCTGTATCTGATAGAAAAGCTCTTGTTGCGTAATTAATGGCCAAGTATTATTGGAATTATTTGTCCGCTTTGGCGTCGGCAAATGAGACGCTTGTCGGCTAGTGTCATCAAAAGAGAATACTTGCGACACAAACGATACACATGTATGTACAATGTACACGCTCGTAAATCACGATGTTTAACATCCATCTAGTTGGTGTCGTTAAAGTAGTCGTTACGTATAGCCGGGCGATAAAATATTTACGTCTTCCATCGCGGAGCCGTAGAGCTGTCGCGGTGAGCTTCGAATTAGCTTTGAAATTGGCGTTCGATCCGCCGAGATCCGCGAAAAGTTAGTGCTGTTTGCGAGCTACGAACCGCGTAGCCCTATATTTTGATATGTTCGTGTCGATCTCCCTTTCCCTCGCACTCACACACACAAACACGTGCATCGATGGAATGTTCGCAATAGCGCAATAGCGCTGGCATTGAAGTTTTCATGCTCCAACGACTTTTTCCGGGGCCGCGAAACCTTGTATACGATCCAGCCGTATGTGATACGAGCCGCGTGTGGCATACCAGTTCGAAGACGGTCTTTAATTCAAGGAAGCACGTGCCCGGTGTAAAGCTCGAGACCATTACGTGGCTTGTAGCATGTGAACTAGAAGAGGGTAAGAAAGGATTCTGGCGTAGCACAGAGTAAATTCGTACAGAGAAAAATTGCAGCAACGACGACGACGACGGCGACGACGACGGCGACGACGAAGAGGAAGGTGGGCAACGGCGATGGTGTTCTCGGTCTCGATCCGATCGGACGACGGTATGACTTCGATTTTCGATACTCCGAAAGTATCTTCTTTGTGCGCCGCGACGAGATAGAAAAGCAGACTGTGAATTTACAAATATACGAGTGGTAGCGAGTAAGAAGAAAGGATTACGGGTCAACCGGGAACAGAGGTCTCGGGGGAGATACCGGAGAGAACGTTAGGTATATAAGCCAAGAGAGAGGGACTTAAATAATCAATCGTCTTCGCGAAGGCTGTAGGTAAAAGCCTATAGCGCTAGTCCTCGGGCGAAGTGTTTGCGCACCCTTCGTTTCTGCTCCTCTCCTTCGCGTCTTCTTCCTTCGAGATCGTCCTTCTTCCTGCTCTTTAATACAACTCCCCCCCTCCTTCTCTATCTTAGTCCAACACCTTTCACTAGACGCTTTCTCGCCGCGTTCACATTCTACTTCAGAAGAAGCTGGGCGCACACAAAGAGACTTCGAAGTTGAGTTTTATGGCCGGCAAGGTCGACTTACTTGGTTTATGAGAGTGACCGTACCGCTGTCCTTCGTGAATTTTACTCGATCGTCGTGGCCGATAGGACCCACGAAAGATGAAGATCCAGTTTCTTAATGCTTTAGCGGTTTTATTGAATTTTCTTCATAACGCGAGTTTGATAATCTGGTTCTCGTTCATGCTCGCGTCTGCTTTTTCTCTTTATTGAACGTGTGAAAATTTTTATGCGCTAAGAAAGTAAAAAGTTCGATATTCGCTTCTTACATTAATGAACAGGGCACTATTTCTATTATATGCTGCTATCGTAATTATTAATACTGCAACGTTGATGTGATATCTCATTTTTAAAGGTACATTTTCATATTACATTTCTTTCGAATTTATATTAAAATATTTTTATTAAGAAATTGCATTGAATTTTATGATAAAAACATAAAATTTGTTCAAATAAATACTTTTTTGTTTCTTATTTATAACAGACTTGTTCTTGTTTATATGACTTAAAGAATTTTTTACTGAAAAATGTTTATGGGGAGACTTTAAAATCTGCTTAATATCTAGCGAACGCGGTTGTTTCTACTCGCAATTAGGAATACCAACTGCGTGCTACAAGGGAGTAAATGTCAGTGTTGGACACGGTTTTAAACCGGTGATTAGAGATTTCAATTCGTGTCCTGCGTTCACGCCATTCGTTAAGAACGAAATTAACGTGCGACATAATCGCGAAGACTAGAGGCTCGTCCGGCGGGGCAACGAAAGGGATAAAGACGCCGCGGGAGGATGGGTTAATTCTGCATAGCGCGTGGGTTAATTTGGAAAACGTGCTTCCCGGATTGTTGCTATGGAAATGAGAGAGCGTTCGTCCTCACGTTCCCCTTATTCTCCGAGTACGGCTTAATCTCCGAGAGGGAGAGAGAAAGGGAAGCAGGCTGAGGTGGAGGCGGAGGGAAGAGGAAGATGACAGTCGCAGTAACCGTACAAAGCGTAATGCGAGAGGGTAATAGCGAAGATCTGTGAGGAACGGAGGAGGTGAGGGAGGGGGGTGGGAGAGGGATAGAAGGGTAGAGGAGAGGGAAGCCGAATGGAAAAGCAAGGAGTTTAGGAGAGGAAGCTATTGCTATCCGGGCTGGATGATGTAGAAGAGG